GTCCCAGGCTGACATAACAAACTACCGTGGGCTGTTAGGCTTCTACACAGCAGAATTGTATTTCCCATGTTTCCAGAGTCTGGAAGTCTGAGATCAGCACACAAGCATGGTATTTTAGACAAGTGAGTTCTCTGGGGTCCTGTTTACAAAGGAACGAGTCCCACTCATATGGGCTCTGCTCTCACCATCTAATTACTGTTCAAAGTGCATCCTAAGGATGCCAACATATGAATTTTCCATAGTCTTTCTTATTTTAACCTCTCAAATTATAAGACTGAGAAGCAAAAGTAGTCGTGCCAAGAAAATATTCACCAGTGAACTGAAAACTCAAAAACGTACTTGTAGTCTCCATTCTTAGACCTCCTCCTGCTTAGCATGGAAGGCTTGCATCAAAGTCTGTGTTGCTCTTGCTGCCTGGGGGCTTCGTAAACTTAGTGCCAGCTCAATGCATATGATTGACAATGAAAGGGCACATCTTGCAAAGCTGCAGGATTGCCCCCAAACCGAGAAAGACACATGGGAGAGCTGGGTGAATCTTGTGGAGTGCCACCAGTGAGGGACTGATGGGTAAGAACACATGACAAATAAATGAGGACAACCACAGAAAGGCACTTGTGTGGGGAGCAACTCGGACTAGACTAAGTTACTGGAATTAATACTTATTCTATGCATCTGCTCTCCCACAATATGGCGCTGAGAAGGGAGAAACAGCTTCTACACAGCTGCCTCCAGTTCAACCAATAAACTGTAGGGCCTACTCCTGATTGGAGGAGAGCAGTGTACTCGGCGTGTGGGTAGCAGAGTTGGGATTGGTGGAAGAGGACTATAAAGGAGGAGAGAGACAACATGCACCAGGAACATCTAAGGGGAACATCTATCTGAAGGAACACCTGTGCAGCCCCCGAGAGAGCCGGCCGACGGTGTACCGCTCCCCCGCGGAAGTGGGGAAAGTGGCCAGGGGGAACCGCCCTTCCACGGAGGTGGAAGGGTCGGTAGCCAACCCAGGAAGAACCAGCAGCAAACCCGGGAAGGGCCGAGCAGACAGAAGAACAGCGCAGGGTCCTGTGTCGTTCCTCCACGAAGACGGGGAGCAACAACTTGCTGAGAGGATAATTTGAATATGGGGGGTTTAAAATGCCTCTGATATTTTTAAAGAAGTTATCCTTTTTTTAGTGAGATTGGAAGTAGTGTGAGAAAGATGATGCAGAGTCAAGGGGACCTTCATGTTTTTCTTTGCATGACATTGTATTGTTCCTATGTTTTTGTGAGAAAGTCATCTATTATTTGAAGTAAGTTATTCCCAAAAGTATAAGTATTCTCCTTTTAGTAAAACACATGTCCAGTATCTATCTACATAGAAAATGGCTTGAAAGCATATATTCTGATAAAATATTGGTTATCACCATTGAAGACATAGGTAGTGGTTTTTTATGACACCTTTGGGGCCTTTCCTCATTTTTATATTTTGTAATGATCTTGCATTGCTTTGGAAAGAAGAAAAAGAAACAAAAATAACAGCACAAAAAGTTAAAGGAACATTTCACAAAATGTTCCAAATTTTTCTATTTTTAAACCACTTGTTCCTCTCTGTTAGGTTATTTTAATTTTTGTGCCAGCTTGTTCCAAGATATCATTTATTGCTATATAGATATGTTGATCCAAATATTTGAGATCATTATAAAGTAGACATAATTGGCTGAAAAATAATTCAAATTTTAAAGGTGAATGCACAAAAATGGAAGAATTTTGAAAAATGGGCCCAGACGCTTTGAGCTGCATATCTGTGTTGAAAACTGATATTTACCAAAACTGCCAGTTATTCCAAACTAGTGACTGGAGAAGATAATTTTTGCACCTGTTACTGATTTGACAGAATCATTTTATTGACCAGCTTGCATTCATTCAGGAAGCTTTTGGCAGCAAATTGTGAACTGCCAGACCCTTCCATGGAGAAAAACTTGCAAAGGAGTAGGCCTATGTGAGCCTATAGCATACATTGAAAAACAAACAAACAAACAAAAAAAAAAACTGCTAAGTTTGGGCAAATAAAGGAGTGTCATTTTGGTAGAAATTTTAGAGAGACTGTGCACAGAAAACCTGTCTGCTATTCTTGAAAAGGCCTGTTTACACAGTTAACTCTTGAGTGGTGACTGGGGACTTGGATGTCAGGAGAGTTCCTACCATTTCCAGAACTGACTGAGAGTGGCTTATTCTAAGCTGTGCAAATGGTTTCACTTATGTTAAACAACTACTTTCCTTCTAGGGATCTGGAATTTCAGTGCATTGAGGCAGAGGCTGCCAGCCCGAGTAGTCCCCCAAAAAGCCTATAATCTCCAGTGGATCCCTAGTAGGCAATGTTTCACATATGGGCTACTAGAGCTGGGGGAGACTAGAGCACCTTCTCTGTGACTCCAAGGGGAAAGGATCCTTGGAAGCTTGTCTGGTTTGACTATGCCCCAACACCTTTTCCTTTCACTGATTCTGCTTAGTATCCTTTTGTTGTAAAAGATCACAGCTGTGAGTATGACCATATGCTAAGTCTTGTGAATCCTGTGAGTCATCAAACCTGGGCATGGTCTTGGGAACCCCAGCCAGGGGGCAGGGAAATAGTGACCTTTCCAGAGTGAATTATCTCCAAGCTAGAAGCCAGTCCTTTTATCCTGCAGAAACAGCAGTCAGTGAGGACAGGCCTATTTCCTTTTCCCCTTCCCCTAGGAGACCAGTGCAGTTTCTTAATTGACATCTATGGGTTTCTCTACCATTTTTGAGGTATGGATAGAGATTTAAACTAATTCTCTTTCTGCTAGGGGTGGCCACATGAAAGACATCAATATTTTCTTATTGCTCAATTCATGAACACATCATTGTGCTATGGGGTTGAAAGTCAACACTTGCTTCTCTTGAAATCCTTCTCACTGAAGTTGCTAAATTTGTCAAAATGAGGAAGGATTTAGGAAGACAAAGTGATTTAGCTGGAGACATGAATTTTTCAACTACAAATGTTTCATGAGCACCAGATATACACTGGGAATCTGGGATACAAATATAACAAATACAGTACTCTGTCCTCAATCAATTTATGGAGCAGTAGGGGAGAACTGTGCTGGAGTTGGCTCCCATGAGCCAGTATCTAGTGCCTGGATGGATTGAAATCAGCCAGCCCAGGAGTATTTGCACCAAGGAATTGGAAAAATACAACAAATTGGCACTCTCCTGGTTCTGTGGTTGTCAAACATTAACCTGCACAACACTGGGGTGGATGGAGAAGTAGCCAGGAGGCAGTGAGCCCTGCCAAATTGAGCTGTTGCAATCAACAAGGATTTCAAGCAAGGAGAAGGAGACTGTCTAGCTGTGACTATTCCCTGGGGAGTGGCTCCTCTGCTCTAGGATCCTGGTCCAGGTGAGGCAGATGGAGTTTTGCTGCTGGTTGGCGTGGCCCACTCTAAGGGCCTTTATTTCCTGGTGCGCAGACCTCAAGCCTCTGCCTCCCTCTCGCAAAGGTAAGGGAGAGGGCACCCCTCTTCTTCCAGTGTTATTCTTAGTCTCAGAATAACTTGTGATTTCATTTCCTCTTCAAATTATCAGTGTGAGTTCCATTCCACCCACCCTGACTCTTCACGTACAATGTACATTTTAACTGAGTTGTACTGTGTATAGAAAAATTTCTGGAGTTTTTGGAAGAGAAGAAAAGTCAAGTGCCAACTGTGCCATTATTCACTCCCTTCCCAGATGCATTAGCAGGAAGCTGGATCACACAAGCAGAGTAGCTGGACTTCTCATCAGGAAAAAATACTGTAAAATATGTTTCCAGTCAGAACTTATGTAAGAATCAGTCTCCCTGGAGGTAAGACGTTCTTGGGGGCAGGGGATGGTGGAAACCACAGAAACACAAGAATATCCCCATTAAATCAGAGAGGGCACGCCTTAGACCGCTATCTTTGAGTCAACCTGGCCTAGAGGGCTTTGACTGGCCTTTGTACCATGTCCTACTGAATGGCCATACCAGGAGTTAATGAAAGATAAACCAAAGGAAATACTTAAAAGGAATTGAGGCATGCTCTCTCTCATGTGGGGTTTAAAAAAAAGGTCCATCTGAACTTAGAATGGTGCTTACCAGAGGTTGGGAGGTGGAGAGGGAGGATAAAAGTAGGGGCTTCTAGTGTCCCACAGTACTGGGGGTGATTCTAGTTCACAATACAGTATCATATTCTGTGTAAGGAACTATATAAGAGGAGTTGGTAGGTCCAACCATAAAGAAAAGACAAGGAAATTGAAATGCTTATTATGAGAATTGCCTACCTTGATCACTGAACACTGGTAAACATGTATTGGAATGTTGCACCATACACCATGAAATGTATAATACATGTTAATAGAAAAAAAAGTCAACACAATTTCTTGCTTCATTTTTTCTTTTTACTTGAAAACTTGTTTAACCTTCAAATTTTGGCAGTTACAAACCTGTACACTGTTGATTTATTATTTTTTGGCTATCTTTTTATTTTTTGTTTTTGTTGCTTTGTTTTTCTTTCTTTTTTTAGAAAAAGACCACAAGACTGAATACTACCAACAGCAATCTATGCAGGAACAATTCATCTCCTGGAGGGGTAAGATGCCACTTTCAGTGTCAGCTTTCCCCTTGCATAAAGTTTGGTGTGTGATGTGTGTGCAAGTTTAGGTGAGTGTGCAGGTGAGTGAAGAAATGATAGGCTTCATTCTCACTCTGAAATCACAAACAAATCAGGTACTTAACCATTGGAAAAAAATTTGTTTTTAAAAATGTCAATGAATACAACACCAAAGGAAAATTACAGTACATTTTGAAATTATCAAAAAACATTATTTTCAAACCTAAAATCCATTTTTTTATGTATGTGTAGTTACCTCAAGGATTTGCAGACCAACAGCGTGAATGACTTAGAATTATATTCGACCCTCCAAATTAAAGCATCCTGATAGGCATCAAAGATAGTATCTACAAAAGCCTGGAAAATCGAAACCATTTATATATACAATTTTATAAACATTTTAAACACCAAAACATACATCTTTTACAAACCAGCCTGTTTGCAACAGGTAAATGTACAAGACAATCTCTCCAATACAGTGCTTAAAAAGAACTGCTTCCATTTCCAAACACATTTGTCACTCCCCAAATGCAGTAGTATGGGCTCAGAAAACTGTTAAATAGTAGCAATTCAGGTATTTGCTTGCTGAAAGGGTACTACTGTACAGACTAATGGGTCCAAACACACTCCACATGTCTATGCAATCCTCTAGTGCATCCTAAACACTGGAAGAGACTAATTATGGCCTTTGTGTATTATTATATATTTGTAATTATTGCTTTTCATTATTACATAGGGAAAGAAATACCTTATTCTTTTCCTATCTCTTAGCCAGTTGGCTAAATACTACCTGATGCTAAACCCACAAATAATGACTTTAAACTTCAGCATTGTACAAGCAGAAGCTCAAAGACATTGCAGGTTTCCATCAGAATAATGTGCAGTTGAACATTGCAGGGCACAAACCAGCAAAAACACATAACCATCTTCTCATAGACCACACAAAATGATGACATTTAAGAAATGCCTCTTTGTATCTCCATTTCCCATGGGTGGAAACCAAAAACTGAAACCCTAAAAGCCCAGCCACGTTAGCAACATCTGCACTGAGAGGGCAGCAGAGTGAAGAGGCCAGACACCCATCTGGACAGTCCATGCACAACGAACACTACCTCTTCCTGGGTGAATTCATAGGAAATTGTTTTTTGGATCTTGTGTGATTTATTTTAATGGTCTCTTTTCTCAGTTCCCCTGACTTTGATGATTCAGACACAGCACTCATGGGGTGCAGTTGGGATAGAAGGAAAGTAGGAGGCAGGAGGGAGCCAAAGATCATACAACGCCTCCTTTCTTTCTTCCCAGGCCGTACAGGTGATTGCCAAGGGGCTATTCCAGATAAATCCCAGGAATAAATTCCCTTTCAAGGACTTCACACTGACTATCTGTTGTGTTGTACCTCCAATGCATAGATTTGACCTACTCTTCACATTATCTTTTACAACAGCATTTCATGAACGCGTGGTGCATGGCTACATGGAAAGCTGGCATGGAATGGACATCAGCAGCACAATACCAACAAAGGAAAGGGAATGAAGGAAGTAATTCCATTATTCACTTTCTGCTGCCCCACAAACCAACAACCTGACCAGAATGTGTGCAATGCAAGTAAAGTGCCTATAACAGGTAGTGGAAAATGGCTTGCAGGTACATGTTAGGAAAAAAAAAAAGGAAAGCTTCTAATTAGTTTAAATATGTTCCACATGTTTCACTACAGTGGAAAAATGGCCGGGAAAACATCAGCCGGTATTGATGTGAAGGAAAAAACCAAAATCAGACATGTACCTAGCAGGTACTATTATCACCCATTCCACTACAATTGATGACTGGTCTGAGTTCACTTCTGTAATTATCATTCCACCCTCATTTTAGCAACATTCATTTGGCAAAAGCAACATTTTGGTAAATGTCCAAAGAAATGTGTGAATTCTGTAACTACACCCTTCCTAGAGGGCTGCCAAGAAACATGAGCTTATGAGGCTTCCAGAGAAATTTTCTCCATGAGATTTCTTGCATATTGCAAAGAATGGAAGGTGGGAAGACCAAGGGCCCATCACAAGCAAGTGGCTGCCCTCTCAAGGTAGTAGAGTGGTAATCACTGTACTACAGAAAGGAGATTGGATAGATGGATAGGTCTAGTCTTTGCTCAGCTACTTACTTCCTATGTGAGCCTGGGAAATCATCTCTCCCTCTCTGGACATGTTTTCCTTTTTATAAAATATGAGGGTTGGATTAACCAAATCTTAAGGACTTTTCAGTTCTTTGAGTCAATGGTTATCCCTCCTACCTTCCATCCATGGCCTGACTGCAAACCAGAAGAGGTATCATATGTTTAAAGATAATGAATCAAAACACAACACATGATTGTCTAATATGTATTTAGCTGTAGAGCTATTTTGCAGAAAATCAAGGGAAGAAGATATCTTGAAGAAAGAGGTATTTTATATAGGTCAGAGCGAAGGGTGGGCACACTTTTCTTCGGTGATTTCTCAACTGCACTAGGATCTATTTATTCCTTCACTAGTGTGTCAGGCAGGCATTTTTCCCTCAAAGAAATGCTGTGTAAGCAACAGTGACACATCAGCGTTAATCTCATTCTAATATTTCCTGGGGGCAAGAAATGAATTGTTGGTTTTACTTTGATGGTTTTTATGTCACTGCATTATTAAAAGCATAGCGGTGATTCTATTCTAGACCATTAGTTTGTCATTTTCAATGCAATCCTTGCAAATGTGCTTCTTGCATAAGAAAAATACCAGACTATTTGCAAAATCAGTCTTAGTGAAATTCATTTATCTCAAGACCACAGTATGGACAATGCCTTCCACGAGTAGTTCTGACCAAGAGACAGGAAGAGAAAGGATACCTGTGAGATGTATTCATTTACTCAGGGAAGTATGGGAATAAAGGATTAAAAAAAAAAACCTTTCAGAAACATTGACTCCTACAAAGAAGTGGATTGAATGAGTACATTGAAATAACTAAAACATGGCTGAGTGGATGACTTGCAGACTCGGGACAGTACACTTTACACACTAATGCCATATGTCACCAGAGACTGTGAATACACAGATTTGCTCATTAAGCAGATAGTGCAAATATGCATTTACTTACCCTGGCCACTGAACAGGCCATCATCTTATTGAAGCCAAAGAGGAAAGTCACTCAGCTTGTCAACTCTGAGTTGAGTAGTGAATGACTGGATTTCCAGTGGAATGATTCTCCTGTCAGTGTTGGAAAGTCATGGCCAAAGCCCACATCTCCAAAGGGGGAGGAGAACCCTTGAGTGTAACGAAACATGACACCTTTTTTTTCAAACAGAGATTAGTTCTGGACAATTATAACAAAATACCATTTTTAAAAAGCACAATTTGGCCTTAATATAGAGGGTAGTACCAAAATAAAGTTAACTGAATTGGAGTAAAATATGGCATTTGGTGTTTCTCTAACATCAGAGGTCAGAGAAATTGGAAGGGAGGCCATGCTCCCTGGCAGGGTTTTCTACACGTCCATTTCCTAAATCCTTCACGTTTGCTTTTCTCAGAGCAGCCTTATGAGTGCAAGCACATATTTGTACATACGCCCAGACACACACACTATTATAATTTATACACAATAACTAATCTACTTTCTCCTTTAAAATGTAACTGTGTTTATAGTGAGAGTGCTACCAATTTAGAATAACATGTGCCTTTTATCTTCATTATCAAGAATTGTGATTATCCAGGATGAAAACTTTGAAAGCATCATATTTTCTCTTTTTTCCCCTGAATTTGTGAATTCTGTTTAAACTTGAAGTATCTCTCATTCTAGAGAACAGTACTTGAACAAAGGGCCAATGTCATCAGCGATATCAAAATTGTGGTTATGGCCAGAGATGTTTGCCAGAAAACACAAAACCAGATAATCACAATCTTTCCAATATTTGAACATTAACCTTCTCCCCAACATACAAACCAGAGCCCAAGTAGCCTCACGTGGCTCTTCACTAATATCTTTCTCATAAAACCCATCTATATCATATTGGATGCTTAACACAAAGATAACTGAACATACTAAAATGTTACACCTAATTTTATAGCTGAAAATTGGGCAGCTTGTGAAAAAAAAAGTTGATTTTAAAGGCTTCAGCCCATTTTCTTGTTTGTTGAATAATAATAGTTTCTTATTTCTTTCACCTAAGGGACTAACTTCTCCAACACTCATTATTTTCATTTCCTTGGCTCAAGGTTACATGCAACAATGCCCCTCTGATTGTTGCCAGTTCTTAATACTGCAAAAAGTCATACAAGATCTAGGACATAACTTAGTGGGTGAAATAATCCCCATCCTTCCATTCTAAGCCCTCGACCCAGGCAGCTGCTACAAGGATTATCAGTTGCCCCTCAGAAACAATTTCTGAGCCGTTTTGTCCCCCTAATTGGGATCAAGCTTGCTTGTGACAGTATGACTTGTGACATTTCTCGTGGAAAAATCCCCTACTTCCTCTTTTGTTGCACAGACCACTCTCCAGTACGACCCGAGCCCAGCCAGTCTCCTTCCACTCTTTCGGAACAAGCAGGGCCAAGCTCCCGGGATGTGTCTTCTACACTTGGGTCTGGTGCTGGGTCTCCACAAAGGGGAGGTGAAGGCTGGCGAGGCTGAGCTCTCCCACGCTCTCGTAGTCACTCACGGCCACTTCGGAATCGTCAAAGCCACAGTTGGCCGACACGTCCGAGGAGGAGGTGCCTCTGGAATTGTGCAAGGACAGAGACACGCTGTCTGCTGGGCCCGTGGCCTCTGCACCCTGGTTCATGCTTACGGCAAAAGTACTGAATTCACGGCTGGCAGGTGGGCCCACCAGGTCTGTTTCATTGGGGAATGGGTGAGGAGGGAGGTACTGGCTAGGATGGAACTGGGGCCTTCTCCTGCAGTCTGGGCTCAGCGTGCTGGCCAGGGAGACAGGCTGGGAGGGGGGCAGGGCCTCATATTGGTCCGGGAAGTCCTCGGGCAGGGGAGGAGGCAGCTGGTCCTGACTCATGAACTCCTCTTCGTGAGGAGGTGGGTATTCGCTGTCGATGTCATAGCCGCCCAAGTAGTAGTCGCTTTCCAACTCGCGTGTGCTGCCCTGCTGTGCAGATCCGACATCCTGGTTCTCGTAGTTGGGCACTTCCTCTATGTCCGACAGGCGGGCCCCTGGCATCCAGTCAGAGGTGTCCCAGTGATAGGCTGTGAGAAGAAAGCCAGGGCAGTTAATTTCCTCTGGATGGGAGCTGGGGCAGGGCCAGGAGGAGTGGAGAAGGGACCTGACATGCAATTTGTTAACATCCTGGAGCCTGGAGGAGGCCAGGGTCAGCCACATGCTCCTTGCAAGGATCTGTCGGGGCAAGCCATGCTCTGGCCTGGGAGAAAAGGCACTGGCAAGTGTGATGGGGTGCCTAATTGCAGCAGACTCACTGTCAGCTAGGCTGTGATGGGGCCAGTGGGGACATGCTGAGGAAGCATAGTTCTAGTACCTCTGCCCCTACATCACTCCCTCTTCTTACGCACATGCTAGGTACAGAACCAGGATGGCATCATGCTCCCAGTAGACAGAGCGGGAGGTAGAGAGAGATTCACCCACTGCACTGTGGGACACAGGATGTGGGAGGATGTGCAGGCAAAGGTATGAATCTCACGTGCAGGGCATGATGCTGGGGGAGAATGGTGGTGGAGCTTACACCTGCAACACTGAAGACACAAGACACCTGGAACATGCAAAATTCAGAGAAAAGAAACTTAGGAGGCAGGGAGAAGGACAGGGTAGGCACAAACTCAGCAGTGCGATGCTAGGGGTGCGGCACAGTCACCTCGGTTGTAGTTCTGCCCTTGGTCCATGACAGACACTGTTTGAATACAAAGTGGAAAGTAAAACTGACAAGCCAAGTCACGCATGAAAAGACAAAACAGAACATTCCAGATGGTACAAAAAATGTTTCTAAAGGTCTACAGGAAATGATTAAGTTCAGGCTTTTTTGTTTCTCTCCACTGTTATTTAGGAACTGGAGACATGAATCCCATCTATATCTTGCCTTTATCCTATTAAATTGCTAATGAGTTACCTAATTGAATCATTTCTTAAGTATTCCCAGCTCATAGTAGGTGCTTGATGAATATATATTGATAGAAGAATGAATTTAAATATTCATCTGGACACTCACTTGGTACTCTTACGTTGAAAAGAATTTTATACAAAGAGCACACACGATATTCAAAGAATCATGCACTAGATTTTTCTTTCCAAATTTTAACATTTACTCCATAGGAAAAAAAAAATCCAGATTCTCATTTGACTCCACCTGTTAATGCCCTCTCTTCTCCTAGCTGGCTGACATCATTTCTACAAGGTAACTCTTTACACCAGGATATTGTACAGAAGAAAAAAAAAAAGTAAATACCTTCATTCTCAATAGTGTCAACTACATTGTTGACAAGCTGAATGACAGTCACTATGGATGCTTGTGGTCAGGAAAAGAAGACAGGAGGCAAAGGACAGCTTCAGGTTAGTTCTGTATTTTCAAGACATGTTAACTTCTTTTAACCACTACCACAACAGCCACCAAGGCACAGCATGCAAATACCCAAGCCTCCCCACAACCAGTCCCTGAGGGAATGTGTCAGTGGGTACTTCTATCTAGGAGAAACTGCAGCAAATCCTGGGCCAGCTCTGCTGAAAGGCAGGGGCAGCAGGGATGGCTGGGTCATAAATTCACATCTTATGGTCCAGTAAAATCAATCGAAGGAGGCAGTGGCTCATCGAGCTCATGCTAATTTCTCATTAGCAACTCCCAAAGGTTTTCAGAGGAACATCTCACTGTGCCGAGGGATAATTATTTGTTGGTCAGTCATGCTGCTTAGAACCCAATGACAGGGACGGAGCATAACCTTTTCAGGGTTGATAGCTTCACTCCTATGATGATGACAGCCAACCTAGAACAACGCAGGGCTCAGCCCCCACTAGGAAAGGTGTGGGCAGAACCGAGTTTGACCTCTAAACCAGGGAGAATTGTGAAGCTCTCTGTCTACATGGACTACCTTACACCTGATACTTGCAGTTTGTGAAAAGCTGATCAAATGTAAAGTGAATTTGCTGAAGTTCCTAATTGCACCTGCGTTAGCTGAGGCCAACCCACAGTGTTGAGCACGGGGAGCAAGTGTGTGACCCTGAGGGCACACACAGATAGTCTATGAGGACAGTCACTGCATATCAATGTTGGAGCTGCTGCCTGGAGTTTGGAACCTGTATGCGCCTGAGTGTCTCCACGTAAAATGCAAAGACGACTCCTTCAAGGCAAATAGAGTTGGGGTGTGCCCTTGACCTTCTGAGAAGTCAAAAGAAGTCAACTGTTACAGTTCATTTTCCCGGCAGATAAATAGGCTTCTGAACTGTTCCCAACTGCCAGGTTTTGGGGAAGGAGGTAGAAGAAATTTGGGCAGTGGGGGTAGAAGTAGCTTATTTTACATCCATGATTGTGTCAATGGGCTCAGATGGCACCTGTTCCTAAATTTACCTTGGAGGTGAGAACTATGCCATTTTGTACTTCTCAGTATAAAATGCCCAGTTTTAGAGAAAATATTTTGCAAATATATACAGGCTGAGTGCTTACATAAATTAGTAAACATCTCATTTTTGTCAGTTGCTGCTAAGTGGGGCAAGGACCTACGGGAAACATACAGGCAGGGCTGCTTGTCTCTGTGGCTGATTCTTTGGAAGTATTCTTGGTGTATCAGCCCATGGCAGATACTCACAATTTTATGACTGTTTCTGCCTCCATCCCCCACCCTGGGGAAAATGACCCATCCTCCAGAGCTGCTTCCTCAGCTCAGAAAACCTGGTGAGTGAGTACCTTCTCTCCAGGCAGGAGTTCACAGGAGGCAGAGACAGTAGCTCACAATGCCAATGCAGGCTGTGAACCGCGTGCAGTATTTGGGCCATCTGGGCAATTTTTCTAAGGTTCTGCTTCACAGGACCCCATTACCCCAAAAGATTATAAAGGAAATTCAGCTAAATAAGGGTGCCACTACTGGCACTACAGGAAGCTGGTTTTGTCCCTTAACTAATTCCCAATGATGGAGAGACTGGGTGAACAGTGGGAGAGGAAGGGATCATTGACAAAACTAATAGAAATAGACAAATCACTGTTTATGAGATGGGATTAGGTGGTTCCAAATCAAAGGGGCTCACCCTTGGAGCTTCTAGGGAACTTTGTCAGCCCCTGACAGACCCGGGCCTGCTCATGGCTGCAGCTCAATAAGGGTCTTCTTTGGTAAAAAACATTCAACAATGTGGTCAACCAGAAAGCCCATGAAACGAAGCCAGTTGCAATACCGTTCCCCTACCCCCAATAAACACTGTTTTCTAGCACCAAGAAAACCAGACTCCACCTGCACAGAACAAATCTGAAGACCCCTTACCATTGTCATCACCAGAATCCGACTGGAAAGAGCTGAGGGACTGGACTTCAGAGTTGCTGCCTTTATTGCTGCCTGCAAAGCAGGTCACTTCTCCTGGGTCATCAACCCCTTTGCCTTCATGGATAAAGAGAAAGCAGAAATGACACTGGTTACTGTGTGCATATTTCTAGTCCTGTTCCCCACGCCTCCACCTAGTTCACTTCCCGGGACTTTTCCGTTTGCTTAGAGAAAATAATTTAGCTCCATAATAAAAAATTGATTGTGCCACTGGGGGCAAAGGTCTGTCAATCAAGTGATTTACATTATGGATTCAAAACCCTTAACCCATGGTAAATGAGCTTCCAAATAGCTGACAGCAGAAAGTAGCTGTTCCTTCCTTAGAGTAAGAGTGAAAGGAGGATGAAGTGGCTGCACTGCTCTTTGCCATTCACAGTTAATTTATATCATTTACATGAACCTAGGTGGTGTCAACACCAGGTTAAATGAGATTACTTTTAAAATAGGGATATAAATATTTTATAGGGAAGAATGCCATCACATTTCTCCTGGCTTCCATCTCTAGGGAGCGAGTGGAGTTTTCGGCTTGGCCGCCTAGGGGGCAGTGTTACATCACTTTTAGGAATGACAATGCTCCATGCCCTGTGTCTGGCAGGAGGGTAGTCTGTGGTGTGGATGCGCTCTTGGCCACATACTTATTCCCTCTTTGCTGCACTACGGCAGTCTGAACAACACACACACACACACACACACACACCCCGGAGGAGTCACTTTCTTATTTGATTGACTAAAGGAAGCAATAAAAACAGCCCATATCTTGAGGTTGTCAAATGAAAAATGAATTAGTTGTCCAGAGATTGTCTCACCATCTAACTCTGCCTTGCTAGACAAAGAAGGAAATGTCATCAATAAAACCCAACAACACTTTTGGGGGAAATGTGAATTTTTGCCTGAGGTGGATTCTGGAAATAAAACTGTCACATCATGAAATGGGTGGGGAGGAAATGATGACCAGGAAAAGCTGCAAATCATCATGCAATGTGGTGGCACGAAGAGACCTGGACTTGGAATGAAGGCAACAGTCGTTCCTCTCCAGGGCCACAGAAATCACGGCTTCTTCCACCAAGGGGGAAGGCAGGGGCAGGCACGGTGGCTTGGCCTCTGCTGTCAGAAGTGGAAGCCACAGCAAAATGATGAACTGGATAGACAGCTGATACAAACAAAGCAGAGAGAGATGCCAAGGGGATATTCACCTCCCAACAGCCATGCCAAGGCGGGCCTCAGAAAGGCACAAGGTGTGCATGAGCTCAGCCCTGAACACAGATGGAAATGATCCACCATGGCCAGTGCACTGTTGTGCATAATATGCCATTCTCCTTCTCACTGCTAAACTAATAAGAGCTGTTAGTTGATTGACAATATTCTGATAGAGCCTTATTCCAAGATAATTTGAGAGGGAGCACATTTATGGTGAAAATCTAAGGGCAACTACTTAAAATACATAAAGGAGTCTACAGAAACACAGAATCAGCATACAGCACATTGGGCAGCACTAGAATAGAAGGAACTCATCCTTAGCTGCCTTTATCATTAATAAATCCCCTCTCTCCCCTCTGGCAAAGCTCCTACCAGCAGCGCTGGTCAGAAGACAGGCTTTGGGGCCTGACACACCAGACTTGAACCTGTCTCTTCCTCTGGCTGGTTACAGGCCCTCGGGCAAGTTCTTTCACCTGTTCAAACCGACTGTTCCTTCATGAAATGATGGGCTGGTAACAGCTTCCACAAGGGGCAGCTGTGACAATTTAAGGGGATGACACCGCACACAGCTTTATATTCACTGGCTGTCTCTGCCTTAACAAATCACTGCAACCTTAACTCTTGCTCTCTGACTTCTGCCTGGATGACTCCACTGGGAAGCTCTTGAAATCTTAAGAATCATCTAAGTGTCAAGCTCAGTATGCATAGATTTTTCTTTTCGCCTGTGTCTCCTTGATGGTTGTACAGTTTTGATACTGCTGGTCTTGCTGGCTGACACGCTCTTGGCTTCTGCATGGCTATCCTCTCCTTCTTCCCTCCTCCCCTGGTTGGCTGGAGTTTCTCTGCCTTCCTGCTTGCCCCTCAATGACCACTGCCCATATGCAGGCATCTCTAAGGTTCTTTTGGAGGTCTGAGAGGACCACCTTCTCCTTTGTCTTCTTCCTCAGTGAGCTCACCTTGGTACAGAGTCCACCAGCCTGCATGCCCATGACCTACACACTTTTGCCTGCAGCCCTGACCTCTCTCCTGAAATATGGTTCTAGACCCCTGTTGGGTAAACCCTCGGGCATCCTCTACACTGATCAAGCTGCTTCCGGCTTCTGGAAAGCCCTCTCCAGAGATCTCAGCTGCAGTCTTGGATGCCCACTCTCTCTCCATGAGAGTGCGCCCTATCTCCATGGCAGCACAAGCTCTCCAGCTCCATCCTGCACCTCCCTCCAATACAAACTGGAACCCTCACAAACCTGTAGTACCCCAAACACTGCAGCTGATGGGATGCAAAGCCTCCGACCCTGATGGAAAGCCACAGGGTACCACAGAGCTTCCTTATTCACATCCTGACTGATGCCTGGGGGAAGAAAACAATATTGTCTCTCACCTAGAGGCTCACAGACTCCACCTAACTGGCTTTCTGCTCGTCCTGTTCGCTGTCCTCTCAAGGATCAGACAGAGGCAGGGTTTTATAATGTAGATCTCACACTTGCCTGCCTAAACACCTGCAATGGTGTTTCTGTGAAAATGCGTCCAGCTCTGCCTTGGGGTTCACCAAGCTTCTACTACACTGGCATCCTGGGTGTTTTTCAACACAATCTTTTCCACCCCAGGGCCTTTGCACTCCTGACTCAAATACTGCCCGGTAAAGCTCAAAGGAGAGGGAAACACCGTCACTGGGGCAGACTACTCCTGCCTTGTTCCATGGACCCTGCATTGCAGCCAAGCGAATGGCTGGCTTTTCCCTAATCCTGTGCGCCCGGTAGCAGGATGCCTCTTCCCTCCAATCCATTCCTTCCCACTCACTCTCAGTCCCTGCGTCCCAGCCATTCTTCCGCAGTGAGTCACAGTCCGAGCGGCAGGGCGACACGGCCGGCAGGTTGGGGGCCACGCTGCACACCACCACTCCGCGTCTGGCTGTCAGAATGCGGGGAGACTCGGGGTGGAAGGTGGTCATCTCCTGGTGTTCGCCGCCCATCCCATCCACGATCTTGTCCAGGTTGCTCCTGGAGTCGCTTTGGAAGCAGGGGGTGTAGGCCATGGGGCGCACGGGGACCTGTGGGGGCCCCACCTCCTGGTAGACGTTGCGGCCGTCGCCGCCGCCGCCACCGCGCAGGCTGCGGAAGGGGATGCCATTGCTCTTGTTGAGAAGGGCGGCTGTGGCGGGATCCTGCACCAGCGTGATGTTGTTGCGCGAGTAGTTCTTGCGGAAGACCTTCTTGCGGAAGACGATGAAGAGCACGACCAGCGTGAAGATGACGAAGAGGACCACGGCGATGCCGATGAGCTCCTCCTTGCCCACGTAGGAGTGGCCAGCCTGGATGTTGGGCACCACCACCGGGCGCAGCGCACAGTACTGGCCCACGTAGCCCGGCGTGCAGTTGCACAGGAAGGAGCCGAACACGTTGACGCAGGCGCCGCCGTTCTCGCACTCCTCGCGCTCGCACTCGTTGACGTCCTCCTCGCACCTGCACGCACAGAACACACAAGCCCCACCCATCAGGACCCGGAGGCACAGGTGAGCGCTGGAAAAGCCGCTGTCTTAGTAAAGAAAGCTTTCAAGGGAAAGGACGAAGCTTGACAAAAATGGGTGTATGGGTGAGGGTGGAGGTGGGTGTGACTGAGACATTTCTGGGCCCACTGCGGTGCCGTCATCAGTGGCGTTAACCCAGTCTCTCCCACATAAGGGGTGTAAAGAATGTGGTAGGAGAAGGGTGCTGGTCTCAAATCCTCAGGGCCAGAGGCGTTGCAGAGTTCAAAACTGTGCAATTCTAGAAGGACATACAACACCTCTCGCGTTACGTAAAACACCACTGCCCTCCAACAGGAGTAACTGGGGCTGCTGGAGGACCCCATGGTCCTCCAGATCATACAACAGATAGGCCAGTGTTTCTGCAGGTAGTCGTAGGGATATGCACACTAAACCCTAAGACAAGGAAGAGCTCCACAGTAGTTTTGGACAGATTTTTGCCACCAAATTAGTTTTCCACAAACGTACTGAAAACTCTTAGTCCTCAGAGCCTTGGCAGATAAAGAGCCATGAACCTACGTGCCCAGTATAGGGTTTTCTAAGAGGGACGGCTTTGGTTCTGGCATTTTCCTCTAATGGTTACAGTAATTTTTGGTCCCTCTGGGAAGCTGGGGAATGCGGGGGGGGGGAGAGGGCAACATATCTCCCAGAGTCTATGCTTATGGCAAGAGCTAATGGTAATGTAGACTATTAGGAAGAAACGACTCCAGCATTTTAATGAAAAATAATTAAATCATCTTATTCTCTTTAAAACAGCCATATTTGGCTTTGATATAATTACAAGGCAAGCATTTAAGTCATTATATCTTAGTTCAACATTATTTGAGATTATAGACCCTCTTTCCTTCTTCACTTTTTCTACGCTAGCAGTTGTTGGGATATGTTCATTGAAAAGGCCCAATCAGCTATATTTTTGGTAATCCACCTTTTTATATGTAGTCAGACGTCCCTAATTTGAACAGATTGAGGCCAGGTCAGCCGGAAATTAGTCAGAATCACAGAGTATTTAAAAGTAAATGCATCTTTATTACTTGAAATTACATCCAGCGATTCAAAGCCAGCTAAGTATTTCCTGGTAAAGTCCTCAGGAGATTTGCTTTAATGAATACGTAAGACTGATCTGTAATTAGAGTATCACTTGCTTGAGATTACACACGTATATATATTTACATATACTTCTAAAATGAATGGGGACAGTTGAAAGTGATATTTTACGAGGAACTTAAAACATTTCCTTTCCATTTGGCTAATACTTTAATTTCACACTTTGGAGACAAAAAAAAAAAACCTGGTTTGCATAGGAAAGGTAAGTTTTAGTTTCTCAGAATGACCATAAAGTGTGAGGCAGTAGAATCCAATGAATGGATTCCAGGGAAATGGAGAGTGCCTGTTTCATAATTATACCCAAAGTAGTAGGGGTATAGATGTCATTCTTTAAAAGAACTGTATTCTCAATTACTGAATATATAATAATATTTTCAAAGTATAAAGTTAAAAATATAAATTACCTAGTCATCCTGCCCAGAGACAGTCCCTATCAATCACATGTAAACACTTTATATACTACAGACATGAACTCTTAAAGTGTTCTATTAATGGTAAATATTTTATCCCAGTGAGCTGCTTTTTGGTTTTCTCAGCATAAGCACTTAGCACAGAGAGAGACTTCAGCACATGTCACTTACGTGACTCCAGTGAGCCCGGCTTTACAGCTACAGATGAAAGTGTTTCCTATTGGGTCACAGGATCCCCCATTCCGGCAGGGGTTTGGGAAGCAGGCTGTAATCTCAGACTCACAGTTTCTTCCCGTGAACTGTGAGAGACAGGTACACTGATAGCCTGGGAAAACAGAGGACCACATGAGCCAAGGATGCCACTGGTAAAGTTCAGAGTGTGTGGACTGAGCTGTAACCTGTACCCCACCACCCTCCCTTAATTCCTTGTTGAAACATATTTTAGGCAGGGCCCAGATTCCAAAGATGATCAACAAATTGAATATTTGGAACACTTGTTGCCACACAAACACTAAGTTACAGTTTGGACTCCCTGCTTGTCCACATAAAAATCGCCTGATAAACCACATGCATGAATGCTAATGAGAACTATAAGAGCCACCGAAGGCATAGGGAAGGGGGAACACACTCTCTCCGCCACACTACTACTGTGAAAGGCAGGTGGTTTCCAGATAGGCGAGATTACCACTGGTGCCATGTAGTCTCTTCCTGGTCTCCTTAGCCTAGAGCTAACAACTTCCCCTGGAGCAGAAGTGAGGGGAGAACCAGTAAAATGAGGGTATTTGTCGATTTAAGTGAACCTCAGATTGACATATGCCAGAGTAATGGAAGAATTCTAGCCTTCAATCAGTACCTCTATTCCCATCCTGATTTATGCATCTTTTTCACTTTTCATGAACCCATCATAAATAAATAGGTAGTCATAGCCCCAAGAAAGAGAATGCTGAATATTAGGTGAGGTATGAGTCTACGAGGAAACAGCATTATCTACAGAGATTGAAAGGGTGAATAATTAGTAAGCATATTTCTCCCCCACTTTAATTCTAAATAAATTGTGGGTCTTTGTTTTTTTAAAGTTATACACATACATAGAAAAGATCCAGGTAGTTTTATAAGTTTGACTTTGTAAAACAGCAGTCCTTCCTCCCATTTATACTTCCTCAGACATAATTAAGGCACACTTTCACTATTTCAGTATTTTCTTCCATGGTATTTTGCTGTTTTGTGATTAGTATGTTTAAATGTATTTCTACTCATTTGAAAGGCAAAGATACACAGAAACAGAGACAGACAGAGGCTTTCTATTTGCTGATTCACTCCCGAACACATTCTACTATAGATTCTCACGAATTTAGAGGTAAATTTTGTGAGATTTTACATAGTTGAACCTTTACAAGTAACTCAATGAGAGTCAGGTTGCATAAGAAATTCTAAGCAACCCTCTCCAAGTTGCTTTTTTTTTGACAGGCAGAGTTAGACAGTGAGAGAGAGAGAGAGAGAGAGAGACAGAAAGGTCTTCCTTCCATTGGTTCACCCTCCAAATGGCCGCTATGGCCAGCATGCTGCACCTATCTGAAGCCACAGCCAGAAGCCAGGTGCTTCCTCCTGGTCTCCCATGTGGGTGCAGGGCCCAAACACTTGGGCTATCCTCCACTGACTTCCCGGGCAACAGCAGAGAGCTGGACTGGAGGAGCAGCAGCCGGGACAGAATCCGGCGCCCCAACTGGGACTAGAATCTGGGGTACCGGCGTCGTAAGTGGAGGATTAGCCTAGTGAGCCGCGGCACCAGCCTCCAGGTTGTTTTTGAGAACTCCAAAGTCATTTTCTTTCCTGAAACATGTATGGAAACTGTTTATTTTTTCTTTCCAACATCTTTGAAGATCTTCTTTAGGGCTCTGATTTTCTGAGGTTTCATAATTATGTACATTGTGGGTTTATTTCCAACCAGTACTGGATACTTAGTGGCTCCTTGCAATCTGAAAGTTCTTGTCCTTTATCACTGGGAAAGTTTATTAGTTGAATGGTGATATTTTTTTCTGTTCTATATTTATAGGATTTTTATTGTTTGGAACTCAATCTCCTTGGCCTTCCTCTAATCTTAGCTTTGTATATTAAAATGGTACCTCAAAAAGTTCATGGAAAATATGAAGTATGAGAAAACTATGCCTGAGTTCCAAAATTATTGTACCCAAATGAACTTTTAATTTCGCTTTGCCTTGAACTTTTTGAGGTACTGTCCTGTGTGGACTCCTAAGGGTGTTTCTCATCTTCTCAAACTTTTTATGAGATTTGCAATTGTGTTGTCATTGTCCAAGATCTATTTACTGCTATTCTTTTTTCACACATAGCATCCTGCTCTTGTGTTGTTACTAGGATTTATTCTCTCAGGATATTAATATTTTATGATATTTTCTCCTTGCATATTTTCTTCCAAGTTAATTTTTTGTTTCTGTATTTTGATCAATATGATGGTTAATTTTATGTATAAACTAGGTGGCCTGCTAATTTGACACCCAATTATTTGGCCAAACACTAGTCCAGGGGTTGCTCTAAAGATGTTTACAGACGTGCTTAGAATTTGCCATCAGTTACTTTTAAGCAGAGCACATTACTCGCCATTAGGTGAATGGGCCTTATCCATTCAGTTCAAGGATTCTGCCTCAAGACTGTAACACAAAAGAATTCTCACCTGAATTTCCTGTCTGCTGGCTTACTTTGAGGGTTTTGAATTCAAGATTGCGAAATCAACTCTTGCGTGAATTACTTAGCCTGCTGGTCTGCCCTATGAATTTCATGTTTGACAGGCACCACAAGCATGGGAGCTGGTTCCTTAATTTAAGTCTCTCTCCATGCATATATACATCCTTGGTGTCTCTGGAGACCTTATGCATTCTCAGTTCTAAGTTCCAACTTCGAATATTTCCTTCGTTGTCTGGTAATCCTTGTTTACCAGCTCATATTGAAGAGAGGGGCCCTGGAAAATCAGAAACCCAATGGGAAGCTCCAAGCACATTAGTGGCGTCTGGCATCTGTGAAACTGAGCCACTACCTTTGGGTTCACCAATGTCCCCAAGAATAGTAGTGGCTCTTCTACTCATCTGCCCAGTGGGAGGATGAAGGGCTAGTTTCTAACACCGGGGGTATTGATCTGAGGAGGAGAGGTGGTGGTTGGTCTCAGCACCCAGTGAGCACCATGTATTTACTTTAACCCAGGGCAGAAAAATACCTGGCGCAGTGCAGTCTGGAGACTGCATTTCAACATCAGGGGCAGACGTGGCCATGGTCGGAGGACCTGGCTGTGCAGAGGGGATGGTGGGAATCCAGATTGGGTTTTCTACCAATTCTTAATTTAAAACCTTCTCCCCATCACCTCCCTTTCCAAAGTGACTAATGCCTCCAATTCCTGTGTATGGGGGGGATCCAGTTTGCAGCTTTCCTTCCTGTCAGGTAGAATCTAGGTCTCTCAGGGCCTCTTCTCTCTTCCGTACCATCTGCTAATGTTGTCTCCTCTGCAGTGCTCCTCCCTCCTGTGGGCCCATGATTTATTAAAAATACCTTGACTTCCATAATGGTGCTGTTGTGACTGCAAGCTGCCACCATTACAGTGAAGCGGCCATTGAGGCATTCCTCATTTCTATGCTTTTTTGAAAATGCTATGAACACTTTATGTTCTGTGTGGGTGCAAACTGATGAAATCTTTACTTAATATATACTAAATCAATCTTCTGTATATAGAGAGAATTGAAAATGAATCTTGATGTGAATGGAATGGGAGAGGGAGTGGGAGATGAGAGGGGTGCGGCTGGGAGGGGAAATTATGGGGGGGGAAGCCATTGTAATCCATAAACTGTACTTTGGAAAATTATATTTACTAAATAAAAGTTTAAAAAAATGAAAATGCTATGAAGAACCATCATGTCTCTTAACTGAAGAGTTCTTGGACTAATCTCTGCTCACCAATGGTCAGTGACTGATGTGGGACTTTACAGATTGAGCTCTATAGTTATAAGGTAGCCAAAAATCTATAGATTGCACTAGCTTGTGCTCTCATGGATGTTTTATTGAATCCACATTGCCAAGAGCTCCCACATATGGGAGGACATTAGAATTGTGTGTGTGCTCATTGGCCCAGAGAGCGCAAGTCTAATCTTTTGAAGGCAGTTGCAGAAGGCAAGAGAGAAATCTACATTCTCAAGGGGGTGGGAACTGTGTAGCCTCAGCCTCCCTAGCCCCAGAAAACCTAGAGGACCAGAGGTGGAGGATCAGAGAGAGGCATACATATGAAGGAACATTAAAAAGTTCATGGAAAAATTGAATTAAAAGATACATTTATTTTGGAGCAATTTTTGAAAACCATAGTTTTTTTCATAATGTGCACTTCTATTAACTTTTTGAAGATCCTTCATATGTGGAAAAGTCCTGAGTACAATGCCAGTGAAACAAGGAACTCATAAGGAATTGATGTTGGTTATGCAAACTCCATCCAAAGAAGGCCAGCCTGAGGTCTGTGGGCAGGAGGCAGTAGTCTGAGTTATGATTGCTTCAAATTATGCTGACTTGGGTTATTTTTTCCAATCTGGGACACCGCTCACTTTAATGGAATTGGGAATTGCCAAAAGCAGGTTAAGATTGGGGGAAAATGCTTCTTTATGTCACCTGGTTAGTCCTTGGTCAGGATGGCATGTTACTTAGAGATAAGAGTGGCTTGTCAGAATGAATTAGATTCTTGTTTTAGACTAAAGGAAGGAGTAGGACAATCACAGTACAGGAGTCTAGGAGGCACAGAGGCACAGCAAGAAGAGCAGGGAGGCCCAGAAGGGGTAGTCTAAGACAAGGTGGGAAACATGTTAAAAAAACAGGTACTCCCCTCCCCCCTTCACACACACACTCACAGCTTCTGTCTGGCAAGGCCTCTGACAATCTCTTATGTAAAACTGTATCAGAAGCAGCTGAAGACAGCAGAGGTACAAGGAGGAGCTATCTGGAAATAAGGGCCATTTTAATCACTATCATGGAAACTGGATTCTAACTTGGGTCATGGGACTGATTTCCTATCTGATGGCAGAGAAGCAATTGGATGTCTCTGAGCCTCAGAAAATCAGAATTTAAAATGAGGCACTTCTCTTACACACTATTTTACTCACACACACTTCCCTCTGCATTTTGTCATTTTCATTATCTTTTGTGGAATATCTAGTGCTACTTGATGCTGCAGCCAGCTTGACTGATTAACCGATCCACACTGATTGAGTGCCTGGGTAATAGGCGGTGGTGTGCAGGAACCAGCTCATAAGGGGTCATGAGAGATGACTGTTGAATATTCAG